TCACTGGTACAACATGAGCATGTAATTCAGTCACTGTTAATGTTGGCCAGGAAAAGCATTATGTTGAGATGGCTGGCAGCTGAGCCTCCCTCCATTTCTCTATGGAAGTCGCTCATCATTGATGTTATGACTCTGATCAGTTTGGGACATTACATTGATGGGAGCTCCCGAGGTTTTGTGGACAAATGGAAGAAACCACTGGAAGCACTGGGAGTAACTTGTAAACTGGACCCTAATGGACAATTATTATGGACATAATGTTGTAATATTCTAGTGCTGTGCAGAATTGTTATTTTGGACGTGAACCAGTCTTGTATTTGTTGGGGGGAAAAGTTAAATAAAAGTTTTAAAAAAAAGAAAACACCAGAACAATGCTGAAAAAGCACACAAAACACAGTGGAGATGGGAAAAAAACACAACAGAAGTTAAATAAAACACACTACAAGTAGAAAAAAATCTCACAAAATATGACAGAAGCGTTTTTGGGGCGATATCAATGTCACGGACCAGCTGTGGAAGTGACAGATACCAAAACATGCGAAGGGCTGCACTGAAATATGCTTAAAAGAACCGTAGGATTCATCAGTGTTGTGAGTAAAAAAAGATGTAGGTAATGTGGGTTTTAATGGCATCATCCATATAATACTGCGGACCCATTTTTGCTATTAGCCCTTCACTGTTAGCATATCACTTCCATTGTAGGAGGGAGAAGAGATAAGTGCTGACTGGATCAAGAGAAGAGAGGAGAAGAGAAGAGGGGTCTAGTTACAGGTTGTGGGGGCCTTTGTAGGCTGAGGTACATGGTTCTGTGGCATGCTGTAATCAAGTCCTCTCACAGACTGACAGCTTGGCACTTGTTTACAGAGGACTTTAATTTCCCTGACAGTCCTTTCCCTCCACCAATCACTCCATCTTCCCTTTGCCCATTCTGTGTAGAGTCTTGTCTTTATTTTTCTCCCTCAGTTACCTTTGTCTCACTCTCGCGCTCCTTGCTCTCTCTATCGTACCCTGTCACTCAGTCGTAACCCCATTTGCGCCGGCAACAAGTTAATGGTTGCTGCTACAGCTGAAAAAGCTTCCTGTTTTCTTCTGCACAAATCCATTTGTTTTATCATCATTTATTTTTGTCTATTTACACAGGCCTGAGGGGGAGGAATTGCTGAAGCATTTGGGCAATTTTTTGTGTTATTTCCCAAGCTTAGCCTGGGGATAGAATCTCAGCAGAGCTAATTTTCAGTCTAAACTTGTTGCTACTGTTACTGCACCAAAGTGGATGGTAATTTATGTATGCTTTCCATCTGTACTGTAGGCACACCGAACACCTACCCTTCTACAAAAAGGTGTCAAGTCATTATAGTATAATCTTATGTATTAAGAAGATGGAGCAAACTATGGATTTATTTTTCACTTGTTGAAATCCAAAAAGTGTGAGCAAAGGGCATGACTATTTAGAGCTACAACAAAACAAAGATATTGCCACTGACGTGCTATTAACCAACACTGTCCATTGGTTTTTTACTTCTCTTGACATCGAGTCAATAGATTTAGTTCTACAGTAGATTTCACCTGTATTTGCTTGATTTTATTATTATTATTATTATTATTATTATTACTATACATTGGGACACTGTTCTATTCTTGCTAATTTGCCAGAATTGTCCAGGGTTAAATCAATACTTTGCTTTTTTCACTTTACCTCTTTAACTTGGAGAACACCCTGATACTCAATGACAGTTACATTTGGATGACTGATGCTAGGTGCTTCTATCTGTTTGATTGTGGTTTCCAGCTTCTGTTCCAGGTGTACACATCTTTTCTCAGTTTTCTCCAGTTTACGGACTTTATCTTGTAGGTCTGTCTCTTACCCGCTCGCCTTCAATTCTTTCGTGTGTTTTTTTTCCATTTATTTTATTTTTTAACTACTGTTATAAAGTAACAGTAAATAAGAAGACCACATACAAGGACATTACAGAAGGCTTTGAGAATTTGAATGTTTGAAGATACATTACACACTATTTAGCTTCTAAGAAAAAAATCTCTGTATATGTCTGTTACCCATGGTAGAATTTAACAACAACAGTATTGTAAAGTAAAACTTGCAGGGCAAGATGTTTTTAAACTTTATTTTGGTTCAAGGTAAGAAAAACTTTTGAGCATGTTTTAAAAATTCGATTTATTATTGATCCTGAGCACTGAAAGCTAAACTCATTGTAGATAATGTTTCCAAATAACTGTTACAATATAGCTCTGTTTTTTGTTTAAAAATAGCTTCTGAGTAGCAAAGCTCGGTAAACTGTAATAAAGTGCCTTCTAATGGCCTATTAGAAGAGTTTTAAAATAGACTCGAGGAGAAAATAGTCTGTAAAGGTTAGTGACCAAAATAAACAGCTGTGTTTATTGAACAAATAAACAGCTGAAGCACTGAACTAAAATGTAACTAACTAAAATGTTAGCACTCACATTATTAACTAAAATTCTCTAATACTCACTACATGGAAAAAATACACACATTAATAGATGACAATAAACACAAACAACACACTAAATTCAAGATGGGGAAAACATCACCTGAATTAGCCAGTAATTTCAGTGTTAAATGTGGAAACCTCTAGTAAACTGCCCTAAATGCTTAGGACTCAGGTTGGCTTTCTAGAGTGGGTCAGGTCGACACTAGAGGAAACTGTGGATCTGAACCATAGTGCAACTAAACTTATTGTGACTTGCAGTCTACCTGCAAATTTATAATTTAATATAACAAATACTGATTTTTTGCAAGGGCAAGTTGCTGAGCTCACACAGCGCTGTTGCTAATCCTTTACAAGACCCTAACCCAAAACTCCAACCCCAATTTTTTTTATTAGTGTGTGGACAAATTTGGGACTTTGCAGGGTGGCTTTATGATTATTATTTTTGTTGTGTTTTAATATTCTTATCCAATATATCCAATACACTGGGGACAGATTGTAATTCATTTTTATGTAAGAAAGGCCGGAGAAAGTGTCAGGCTTTTATCTTTAATCATTTTTGAGATGCATGCATCTCTATGTTTGGACTTTGCCTTGGATTTGAAAGTGCAAAAAATACATGCTTGGAATTGGTCGACATATCATTTTACAAAAAAATATAGCTTGAAAATTGTTTTGCATGTGAAATGAAAATTTTAAAAGGAATCATTATATGTATAGCCCAAAAAATTATAAAATTGTTCAGCAAATCAGAGGTAGTCAAGCAGAAGAGCCACAATGGTTTAGGAAGGAATGACCTTTAAGTGAGTCAACACTGAAAGGTTGAGTCCCAAAAATTTACATGATTGTCTTATGTATTTTAAGTCTTTCTGGGAGGGAGGAGGGGGGGGGGTAACTGTTTTTAACTGTTGTTGTTGGTTTCATTCCACAGATCTACCCCAGTCTGTGTGAAAGGTGTTATTATAGGACACAATGACCACAACATTACTTCAGTATTTACCAAAGATGTTGCTGTGATGTATAGATAACTGCATTAGTGTATCTTCTCTTTGCCCACTGCAGGCCTGTTGGGTTTTGGCTGACCAGGGCTCAGTCTCTCCTCTACTGCAATGAGCATGGAATGCTGGGCTCCTTCTCTGAGGAGGTGATGAGCTGTAGCTGCCCCGTGGAGCAGCCAAACTGCCAAGGAGTCATCCCCTGTGTTGTAGGGACTTCCACCACCTCCTGCACCCTCTGCGCCTCTGACAACGCCACCCGTTGTGGAGCCTGTCATCACGGCAACATCCTCCATCTTGGTTCCTGTCGACCTAGCATTGCTGCATCGCTAGATCATTACCTGAACTTTGACTTGGACATGCCTGATGCCGAGGTTCTCAAAGCTCCTTAATTATGTATTCCACTGGTTCTCAAAGCTCTTTGGGACAAATTAAACAAACAGTGCCTCAAAGGGCTCACATGCCATCAATTGTTAAATTGTTTTTGTGTTGAATCTTTATACTGAACATACAAGATTTACATAACAGTACAAATATTAGTCATGTACAGTTTTTTTTGTTCAAAAAGGAATACAGTATTAAACAGGGATTGAGAGGGGGTTTCAAAATAGAAAGCTGACTCTGAAGTACCTACAGTGCAAAGAGTCCCTTCATTCAGCAAGCCCAGGAGCAAAAACTCATACTATGCTTTTTTAATAAATCACCACAGCAGTTATTTTCTAGCCCTCAAGAGGTCTAAGTTGTCACTGTTGAACCTCTGCCTTAACTCTAATCCTAGTTCACAAGCCTTCAAATTGTGGCTCTTTAGACCTACTTGAGTGTCTTCCTTTGGCTTTGACAAAAAACTTGATAAATATGAAAATGATCCTCATAATTTGCTGAACCTCAATAGCAATGGCTAGCAAAGATGTGGAAGCAAATAGGTGATCTCTAGTAAATGGTATGCCTTTACATTTTTTCTTTACAATAGTTCCCTTTTATTGCTTTTGACTATAATAAAAATAACTTATATTAAGCAAATTTATTTATTATGTATTTATTATAGTTAAATAATCACATTTGATAATGCCAATGCCTAATCAGAATGTCTAATTTTAGCTTTTTATTAAAATGTCTTTAAAAATCATTAAAAGTTTTACAAGGGGTCTAAGGAGCTTGGAAAGAAAAGTGTCTGGACTTCTTTTTGGACTTCTTTCATTTGAGAAGCTTCTTCAGTTCTAAAAGCAATTGGTGGAGAGTCCCAAATTTTAAGCCCTATGGGAGTGTCCCCAAGAGGGTCATGGACCCCCTATTGATCCTCTGCCTAATCACACAAGCCATGGTGTGAAAAGGATGTGAGTGGGCGTTAAGGCGTCTAGGAAGGGATCTCAAAACTGGATTATAGATGGCAGACTTTCTCGGATGAGAGGTGAAACGTCTTCAAGAAAACTTAAAGAAGTCCAGACGCTTTTCTTTCCAAGCTCCTTAGACTACGATGACCTGGATGACTGAGAACCTTCACAGACATTTTACAACGGTTTTCAGCATTTGTAAACTAAAGTTGTAAAACATCCATTGTGGCTCTTGATGAGATTTATAAATTCTGGCAAAGGTGGTAGTTGAAATTTAAAATTTGGTAATAGCTCAGTTTGAGAACCAGTGCATTAATTATCTATCTGCTTATTGCATTGACTGCAGCCTCACGGTTTGTTAATCCCTCTTCAGGTAAAGTACCTGCTTCAGCGACTGGACAGCAGGATAGAGGTCCATGCCATCTATATCAGCAATGATGTCCGCCTGGGAAGTTGGTTCAATCCTGCCTGGAGGAAGAGGATGCTACTAACACTCAAGAGTAACAAAAACAAGTCCAACCTCATCCACATGCTAATGGGCATTTCTTTTCAGATATGCTCAACTAAAAATTCAACACTGGAACCCGTGCCTGCTGTCTATGTGAATCCTTTTGGGGGAAGTCACTCAGAGAGCTGGTTCATGCCAGTGAACCAGCCTGACTTCTCTAACTGGGAGAGAACTCGACTGGACAGCGTCACCACTGCACAGTGTTACAACTGGACTCTGTCTCTGGGCAGCAAGTGGAAATCCTTTTTTGAAACAGTGCACATCTACCTGAGAAGCCGCATAGTCACGGATGATCCAACAGTGAATGAAACTCTCTTCTATGAGCCATTGGACTTGGATGATCAGACCTCCAACCTGGGCTACATGAAGATCAACACGCTGAAGGTGTTCGGATACAGCATGCACTTTGACCCCGAGGGCATCAAGGATCTGATTCTCCAGTTGGACTACCCCTACACACAGGGTACGCAGGATGCCGCCTTTCTGATGTTACTGGAGATGAGAGACCGGATTAATCGGCTATCTCCACCAGCACCACAGCCATTAGATCTGTTTTCTTGTCTCCTGCGCCACCGCCTCAAGCTGTCAGCCGGAGAGGTGGCACGAATCAAGGACTCTCTGCAGATCTTCAATTCCAAGCTTCCCAATGCTTCACCTGAACCTGAGCTGGCCCAGCTCTGTAGCTAGCTAGTTTAGCACAATCGCCAGGTTCAGGAATGATGCTGTTCGTAGAAAGAGGAATTGCTACTTCAGGGACGACTCTGCTGAGATGGCCTTTGGACCCGAATCATCTGGATTAACGTACTCTGAAGAAGGTTGAATTCTTGGCCTTTTTATGGTCACTCTCAGTTGGTTTTCTGGTGTTTTACCTTTGACAAACAGCATCATGTCCTTGACTTTTCGGAGAACGAGGGATACTTTGACTCTGTTTAGGAGGCTGTACTGAACCCACCCGGAGGTTCACTTTTGCTATTACTGCCCTGCAAACTGCGTAACTGGACAAGGCTAAAAAGGTTTCTTTCACTGACAAGTTTTTGTGATTTGGAACAATAAAAAGAAGATCATACATAAGACACCTGCCTTGCAAAGACAAACGCGGTTTTCTTATAAGAGGAACTCTTCAGAGGTCTTCAAAAATTAGCGGAAGAGGATTTCCCTTTTCTAACCCTATTTTCTTTGGCTACAGAACAATCTTGAGGGAAGGGAAATGGGATAATTATATATATGTGGTGAATGAGTTGTTATGTTATGCTTAACAGTTTAAAATTTGATAATATTGAACCCTGTCACTGTCTTTGAATATTTCTTTTTAAACCCTACCTTCCATTTTATCTGGCATTTGAAAACTTGTATCTATGCTTAACATCTGAGTGAGAAGCCTGTTAGTGATGTTCTGTCCTTGGTGGCTTGTCTGTACCAAAAGAAGGTAACACATTGGCAATTTGAATGGCAAAATATCGTAAATGTTGAGTTATTATTCTTTCACTTTTGAGCTGAAATAATTCATAATGGAACCTTCAGATGTGGTAACAAAAAGGTCTGCGGATATACAGCGCTGTAAATAACGCTCCATCTAACCCAGGTTGTGGACAAGTGCACATTGCTTTTTAGATAACTGAGTTCAAAGACCAAAAAAATGTTTATAACAAAACAAACTCATGCCTTATATGGAGAGTCAATGTTAAGGTAAGAAGCACATTTAGTTTCTGTGTTTGGTTTCCCTGCAAAGGTTGTATTGCTTTTTATATTTCAATATTTCTACCAAGACAGAACAACAGACGCATTCTCCAGAGTACGTGGTAATGTAGCTTTTCCATGTAAATGCCAGTCACTCGTTCTGCAGGTACTTGTTTTGATTTGGTGTTGTGAAACTTTTGAATCACCATTCACAGTGCACACCAGTACATGCATAATGTAATTGTTCTGCAAAATCCTCCAATGAGATAAACTTTCAGTAAATAATAGAACATGGTTGAATTTATGGTTTTAAAAGGTTTTCAGTGGTTCGGTTAGTCTCAGGTCTATGAAACTTTTTTTTTTTTTTTTTGACATATGGGTCCAATGTGAGCTGCAGTTACCACGGCAACTGGAGTTACAAGGTTTCTGCGGGGCGGTGATGGTACACTTGAAAGCTGCAAACTTAACCAGGATGATACTTGATATGATTTTACTTTTGCTTCACTAATTTCTCACTGAAAGTTAGAAAACCTTGTATGTCATTATCAACAGTTCTTCTGTGCTCAGCTTGCTTAAGTAAAAACAAAGTGATTTATCTATCTGAGAGCCTTTTCCTTGTTTACAAAACTTTAACCCTCACTGTTACGTCTGTTATATAGCATTATTGCCATATTACCTCTTTGCCTGCATGTTACAACGTTGTCTTTGGTCAATTCAAAGACATATTGATAAGATTAGCTGTGAAGATGGTGTCATGGAAAAGTGCAATGATGATGGCGGATGTGGTCAGAGCTACAGTAATAGTGGTAGTAAGGGGAGGGGGTGACACAAGACCGTCTCATCTTACCACCACTAGCTGTTCATTGTTCTAGTGTAAGCACAGTTTTTCACATTTGCATTTATTTATTTCACAGACAACACAGATCTGTTGTTAAGTAATTTCTTGTTAAGTACATGTGTCACACTATCACTATTGCAAACACTGTTTCTGTTTCCGGTCCACCTAATGGGTGCCAGCCAGAATTATCAACGTGGAAAAATGGGAAACTAATCAAAAAAACCAAAACAAATTCAGTCATTTATTTTGTTTTCATGTCCTTACTGAAACCATTTGACTAATTTGCAGCTGTTTTTATGCCAGATATGCTGGTTAGAAACCAGCCTTGCATAAACATTTAGACCTTTTCAACATAGTCATGTTCGATAATATTTGCAGCTTTTGACGGTGGACTTATAAATTAGGTCACCATGCTGCAGTTTCCAACTAAGTTAAAGGCAGGTAATGCATTTTCTGTGGATCAATTTTTCAAATGAAGAGGAGCATTCTCGTGCATCTACAGGGAGGCAAAAGGAAGAAGTGGTAACAGGTCAAATATTTCAGTATTTTATCTCAGTCTCAAAGCCAAGTAAATTATCAGCAACTAAGTGATGTTGTTAGACTTTAAAATTATTGTTGCTAGTTTGTGCACTAATCTTATACTAAAGTCTTATACCCTTTTTAAATATTTAGTCAGCTGTTGCCTGCATGTAACAACCAATTACAGCAACTGGAAAGAAGCCAGTCAAAGCCAAACAGAACAGGTTAATCTGATCTAACAGGTTAACCTTAAGAACAGGATTAACTGCATTAAACTCCCTGCCTCAGAGGCTCATTTATGGGAAGTTAGAAACAAGAGTGAAAGACAAAAATGTGCATTTTACAGTAACATTCTGTTAGTATGGTTCAATTAATTTAATTTAGAACATTACTATATTTTTACAGGGTGACGCTATAAAACTAGTGATGAAGGAATTTCTACTGTATTTTCTCCAAAATTGTTGCTATTTCAAAAGTAAATATCTATTGAGTCTGCAGGTAGTGTAATTTCACTTGGTGATGGTGTTCTTTCAGTCACTGTCCACAGTTCATGCAAACAAATATGCTACTATAACTACAGTTAAATGGAAGCACTCAATATTTTAAAACATACTACTAACACAGACCCTTATTCACTAATATGTGAATATAAATGTTCTCACTGTGTCCACAAAATAAAAGCACAGAGGAAATTATCATTGGATTCATGAAACAGGTTGAATGGAGAGGGTGAGAAAAACAGCTGGAAGACAATGGCAACCACATCTGTCAGCTAAAGATTAGGAAACTCATTGCAAATATAAGAAAACACGAGTAAGTGGAATATTGCAGAGAAATTAGACTGTCAATGAATTTTCAACCATTATGTTGAAGATTTGTTGGTGTGTTTGGATCATTGTCCAGTTGCATGACCCAATGTCAGCAAAGCTATGGATAGATGGCTGTACATTTGATTCTATAATAATAATAATAATAATAATAATGGATTGCATTTATATAGCGCTTTTCAGGGCCCCCAAAGCGCTGTACAATACCACTATTCATTCACTCTCACATTCACACACTGGTGGAGGCAGCTACAGTTGTAGCCACAGCTGCCCTG